TTTAAAAAATAATTTTCACAAAAAGAAAGAGACAATAAGCAGAAACAAAAAAAATAAAATAAAAATATTGCATAACAACTGTCGGACTATACAATAAAATAACATAAATGAAATTTACATCACATAATGTACACATTTGCGTGCGTGCGTGCGTGCGTGCGTGCGTGCGTGCGTGAGTGGCCGTGCGTGCGTGTGTGCGTGCGTGCGTGCGTGTGTGCGTGCGTGCGTGCTTAAAAAAAAAAAAATGATTTTAATGAATAAATAAAAAGGAACGCGTTGAAAAAAAAATAAAAAAATAAATTTAAATAATTAAAAAAGAAAGAAAAAAAAGAGGAACATGCACCATATATATATAAAATAATTAATATAAATAATTTTTTTTTTTTTTTCTAAAATACCAAAAAAAAAAAAAAATTTAAATATTTGTTCATTGTTCCACACAACACTACAATATTCCAGGACGTTGCGTACATAAGAATAGTATAAAATCTTTATACATTCTATGTCCGAAAAAGGTTGACAAACTCGTAATACAAAGCCTTGATTTTTATAAGCCTTTGCAACTATTGCCGAGATATGATCAGTCATCATCATTTTCGAATTAAAGACTACTCCGAGGTCTTTAGTTTTGTCAGTTTTTTCTAAAGGAAAGTTGTTCAAGTAGTATTGAGATATAAATTTTCTCCTTTTGCGAGTAAAACTAATTTAGAAACATTTCGATACATTCACGCTAATACGGTTATCCCGGTAGTAGCTGCAGAAACGGTATAAATCGTTCTGTAGCTTAAAAGCATCTGTTTCAGATTTTATGTAAGCGTAAATTTTCATGTCATCAGCGTACATCAGAAACTTAGCAGAATGAAAACAGATGCCCACATCATATAAGTATACTGCACACAGCAAGGGCCCCAATATTGAGCCTTATGGGACACCAGATGGAACGTCCACAATATTTGAGCGATATCCAGCCACAACAACTGCCTGTGAGCGATTACGCAGGTACGAATCATCTGAGAAGGTTTCCCCGTATTCCTAGCTCCTGAAGTTTTTTTAGAAGGATGAAATGATCAACGCAGCCAAAAACCTTTTCAAAGTCCGTATATATAGCATCTTTTTGGAGGCCATTATCCATCCCTCTAAGAACATTGTTGCTAAAGATGGAAAGATTGGTGCAGGTTGAGTGGCCACGCACAAAGCCATGTTGCTGGGAAGGAATATTTCGAATAACTAACGGGTATATGTGCCTGTGGACTATTTTTTCCATTACTTTACTTAACACGTTCAGTATTGATATTGGCCTATAATTCTCTATGACTGTTTTTGATCCCTTTTTATGGATTGGTACAATATTGGCAGTTTTCCAAATTTTTGGAACGTATCCTTCTTGAAAACATCTATTAAATATTACTGTTATGGGAGCTGCCAACGACTTCGCACATTCGACAAAGAAAAAAGTTCCTTCCCTTCAAAGTGACCGCAGAACTATACGTCATTCTATATGTCAATGCTGAAGATTTTGATATTGGCGGAATCAGCAAGGGGAATGTCCTGAAATTGAGCAGATACGACAAAGGGGTTCCTTTTAGAAGTAAACCCGCAGAGCTGTGTCTTCTGAGGGTTAAACTGGACTAGATTTAGTCGTTCTAAATCCGAGACTTTGTTTAAAGACTCGTCTTCAGACACAAGTCTGTTCCGGTAATCGACGATGTATTCCTGAGAAATATTAGCACATTGGTTTATAAGACATCGCCGGTGCTGTTATCTGGATAACACTGAATGTAGTTTGCAACATATCATTGATATGCCGAAGAAACACCGTAAGTAATAGTACGCAGCCTTGTAGAACATTAGCATTCATAAACAGCATGCACCGTCTAAAGTAAGGCCATCTAGCAGCGATAGGAAAGGTCATTTACCTTAAAAACGACTGTGATGTTCACAATCTATTATCTATTTCTTTCCATCTTGTGTATTTGTCGTAATATCTCATTTTCTCGGCAAAAACATGTCAGGGTCAAGACAGGTTAGTCAACATTCTGGAGGCCTTTTTATTAATTTAGTGATTCATTCCGTTCCGGAACGCGCTCGTAGTGGTATAAGTTATTAGTTAAAGTTTTTGTTATTTTTTGTTTTTTATTTAATTATTGTTATTTTGTTTTATTGTTTGTGACTTTGATGCTTTGATCTGCAAGGAAATAGGTGAGCCAATTGCACAAAATTTTCGGGAAGTCTATAGGAAGGATATTTCAAATTTTTGCTATTTACAAGGTAACGGCCAATGCCTCCCTCTTGGACTCTGCCTTCGTAACTTTACTGCCTTCGCTTAATTATGAGTCAAGTAAACTAGAAGAACACAAGCTGTGCGACCTTGACGGAAACCGCACTGGCGGTTTAGCATCAAAACAATATTAGTCCATATGCGTCAAATTGACAAAGTTAAAAAGGCTTGACAAATGGGTGTCCCACGAACTCAATGATCGTCAGCGCGAAGTACCTACGCATAGAGACGTGCACTGTTCAACAGGCACACAAACGAAGGATTTTTGAACCGCATTGTTACCTGAAAAATGAATTCTATTTAACAATTTCAAACGCTCAGCATGTTGGTTCGATCCTGGTTCAGAACTTACCCCTAGAAAAGTGATAGTCACTGTTTGGAGATCTAGCGCAGGTGTGATTCATCACAGCCTATTACTAAACGGAATGAGCATTACTGCAGATGCGTACTGTAAAGAACTGAACACAATGATGAAGAAACTCCCCGCTGCTCCTGCACGACAACGCGAACTCATACTGCACAACAGACGGTCTCAAAGTTACGAGCTGGGATTAGAAGCTCTCCGTCATCCGTCGTACTCACCAGACCTTGCGCCTACATACTTCTACTTTTTCCAGAATTTGGATAACATTTTAACAAGAAAAAATTCAATACGCGTGAGGCAGTACAAAATGCCTTTGAATAATTTATTGCCTCCCGTTCAGCTGATTTCTTCCAGAAGGGCATCAATAAACTGCCATTTCGTTAGGAAAGATCCATCGATTACATGTGTACTTTGATTAATAGAAATAAAAAATATAGAAAGAAAGATAAATTCAAAATTGCATGCCCCACGAGCGTTTCATTTAGTTTTTATTAAAAAATTAATTGTATTCCTGATTTTTAAATGCTTGCTATCTCATTTTCTCCCACGTTAAATCTTATAAACTTATGTGTCTGTCTCTTTTTCGTTTCATAGACTTTCAAACCACAACGATGCTAAAGAAGTTTTCACTTCAAAAACCCTGTCTCGATACGTCAATGTTTTCGAGAATTATCGTACAAAATTAACATCCAGACCATGGAGTATTACTTCTACTTTCCATGATCCAGACGTTCACGCAAAAAATTTTTCAAACCGTTTCTTTCAAAGTAGTAATATATTTTTTTATATAAGATAGATTTATTTGAGTGTTTTCTTGATATCCGGCTACTCATATTATGGTATAAGTGCGTGTTTATTCGTGTATGACAAAAAAAAAACCGCGTTTCACCGCCATCGAAACGTTTTTTTCGGGCTGTACAGTTATTCACTTTTTATTACTTTCCAACAGGGTCCCAAATTCTTGTGTGCCCAAGGGCCCCGGTATGGCCTAAGACGGCGTTGGGTATAGACTTAATATTTCGTGTAGTGGGGGCAAATCACAGTGTACCAAAGTGTATATTATATACATACATATACATAAGCACTCACGCTTGTCACCCAGAGGGGTAGGCAGAGATTACAGACTTCTATTTGGCACGATCCTGACATACCTCTCTCGTCTCTTCCACATCCATATACCTACGCATACATGCTCGTCGGTTAAGGGTACTCTTAATTTGGCCCCTTTATTATAGATCGCCAATTAGGTCGACGAACTTCGCCTAGGGCGTCCTTTACCGACTCTCCCGTTCGCTTCTGCAACATACATTTGCTTTGTCACTCTTTCCTCATTCATTCTTTCTACATGACCAAACCACCGAAGCATTCCTTTCTTAATCCTCGTAACAACATCATCTTGCGTACCACACTCTTCTCTTATTACACAATCTCACCCCGTCACTCAAATTCAGCCCTAACATTTTCCTTAACGACCGCATTTCTACTACGTTTATTCTACTCTCGTGCTTCTTCTGCCATACCCAACTTTCACTACCATATGTTAAAGAAGGGTTAAAACAGCATTGTGAATTGCCATACGAGCCTTTTTTGACACATTCTGGCTTTCCACAATAGAGTGTAGAGCCCCATTTAATCAATTTCCTTAGAATATACATTTATATTATATAAACGTATATTCTAAGTTTATGATATAAATATAAATTATAATATAATTATCATCTTTAGAGTATCACAGATAATATAATTTTGCAGAGTATTTTATATACTTACACATACTCACTTTTATTGTTGTATTCGATTACTCAATAATAACAATTTTAATCTTAATATTACTTACCCAATATTTACTATTCTGAACTGGAACGTTAACGTCAACTTTGATTTGATGTTTGCAGTTTGTTATAAAAACTAGACTATCTGATTCGTTCCAAACAACTAACTTTGCCCGAAGAGTGTTGCGAATATTTTGTCTTGCTCCAAAAATCATTATATCCTCCTAATGGCTATACCATCAATATTCTAAAGTATTTGAATAAATAGAAAAAATTCTGGCATGATCACAACACAAAAATTTTATACGATATCACACAAATGGCCGGCCTAAATAAAGTTCAAATTACTTTTCTTGACTACACTGAACAAAACATTGTATTCGTAATGCTCTTTCGTTCGGCTTTTTCTTTCAAGACCGTAAATTAGGATTTATATCGGTTTAATTGCAATATCCAGGAAACTGCTATAAAATATATCGTGCTTTATGTACTACATACTTTCAACTATTTGTTATATAATTTAGTAAGAATGTTATGAATTCCAAATTTTAGGTTACCTATTATTTTAGTTGATCCTGTAAAGACAATGTTTTTGAGAAAATATCTAATTTCTAAGCTAAATTACACAAAGCGGCTATTGCAAGTTGACTATAGTTGGCATGAAAAGGAAGTGCCGCAACAAAAGTTATACCATAGTAAGTATTTCAACTGATGGTACGGCAATTCATAAATTTAACATACATATAGGCTTATCACTGATGTGATTATGCCGCCCTATTTATAAGATACGTAAATCATTGTACTTACAACCTAGAAGTAATTAATTAATATTATAATAATTTAACTTCATCTGACAAGGGCTTCACCAAAATAATATAATATTATAACTGATTTTGGGTTCACTACATCACACATCATCAAATAAGTACCTAACCCTATAGATGCGGTAGTTGGGTATTGTCCCTTTGTAACACATAACATTGCTATACTATTATCATTACCCAATCAGTTAGTTCTTGCTTACATTCTATGTTCAGCAGCATGATTTAAACTGATAATTAAGAATTAAAATGTTATATAATTTTTTTAAACTTGCAGGAATTATCAATCTTAATTATTATTTTTTGTTGTAGATATTTCATGCTGTCACCCCAATGAATATTCATCACTGGGTAGAATAAACATTTTGTCATATTTATACTCTTCGTATTTAATATCAGTGTACAGGAGACATTATTCAAATAGAATCTTTGATGGAGATGTTACAACATTAAGAACACAGCATGAAAAAGGTATAAAATAATATTTAAATACCTTAATTTAAGCTTGTCACTGTTCTGATTGTTCTAATGATGTCCTCCTATCTAATTTTTCGGTAATAACTATCAAACAATTGGAAGCTTTCAACTATGGATGCAATATTTAAATGTCACAAGTGTATGTGTAAATTGAAATGTTCTCACAATAACATATTCACTATTGTCCAATATAACACTTGAAAATAAGTTCAAAGGCAGGATTGGCTACCAATGATTTTTTAGTTCAAAAACTGGCTTGGCTGGACCCAATCACTAATGATTTATTATACATTGTTGACTCTGACCATACTAGAATTATTTTGTCCGTACAGTTTGGGTCATAAATCATCTGAGTATTTCGCTCTCTCTCCCACTCATGGGCCTTAGAGGTGAGCACAGTAATGAGCATTATTGTTGTCAATAAGCATTATCGATAGTGTATTATAGTTTTGCCATTATGTGGGCTAGAGATAAAAATGAAAAAAATTTAGATAGAACAACATATTTATTAAAATAAGAATAATAATGATTTAAAATAAATTAATAATTAGGTATCTATGTTTTAAAAATACTATAAGTACAAATGTTTGGAAAGTAAAAAGTTATATTAAAAATAAATATAAATATAAAGATAATAACTTATATCTAAAATTAAATCTAAAACTATTTACATTAAAATTCTACATCAAAATCATCAGTCATTGTCATCCACATGAATATCTTCTGCCTGATGAGATTTCTTCAAGTCTTGCTCTTGGAGTTTTTCTGCATGCTTCACACAATCTTCCCAGTTCTTTTGCGAAACGTTTGAAAATGCTTTGTGCAGTAACACTTCGACGTCTGCAATTTTAAAAGTGCTATTTTTGGTGGCAACTTCATTTTTTGGTTTAGCCCATACCAACTCAATTGGGTTGTGTTGGCAATGGTAAGGTGGTAAGCGAATCACTTCGTGTCCTGACTCCAAAGCTAACTGATCCAATTTGTATATTTTTTCTGGTCAGTTCTGTCGCACCTGTAAATATAATGTTGTTTGTATATTCAACTAAATACTTAAAAGAAAGCAAATGTATTGCAAACTTTAAATAATATAATCTGAAATACCTTTTGTAATAGTTCCAGCTTGAGCCCACTAACACTACACTCAATCCCATTTTGGCGGAGCCACTCCTGAATTTTGTTGTTATTGATAATGGTGTTACGTCCGCGCAACATGCTCACCGCCCTAGCCGGGCTGAGGCCGAGCTATGATTTATGACCCCAACTGTACGGACAAAATAATTTTACTATAGGATTCAAATTCAGGACACAGGAGAGGTGGATGTCTGAAAATCTCACAATATCACTTGAGTAAATCACTCACATGTGTCAATAGATAATCTAACTTATTTTGTTAATGTTAATTATATATTATACCTATATATACCTATTTAAAACTCTTCTTATTGCAGAGTTAAAAAGGATATCGGCACTCTTCCCAACACCCAGGGTCACTCTTAATGAACTGAATAACAAGACACCAGAAAAAGTATTTGAAATTCACTATAGGCAAAATGTTGTGGCTCCAAAAGGTGCAAGGAAGAAGGTGGGGCAGAATAATGATTGGATTTGTACATATTCCTTTGTTTGGCCTGAGAAGATTAAGTTTGAAAGGTAATTGGTTATAAAACACTATCTTATTGTAAAATTAGTTTGATAATTAATAAAATATATATTAAATAATTATAAAAGTAGGATTTAAACTAGAATATGTTGCAAGGAAGTCCTGAAGAAATATATGAACTGATATAGCTCAGCGCCAGACATTATCCGATGCGGAGGTGAACCTAAGCACGCTTATCCCATGGTCAACTATAAATAGCTCTTTCACGTGTAAACAATCCCAATAACCTTTTTGTGTATGCTGCAGATGGTTCCACAGCTAATATTGTTTATAAAGAAGCCTTGCATAAAGAAAATAAAATGAAATGGCGGTATCTCCAACAGCTCTTCGCACTACAAAACACATTGTTAAGTTCTGTCATCCATGCGAACAAATTCTGGGCACAACTTGTTGGTTAATATTTATCGGTTTCTCTACTCCGCTGCTTCGCTCCGCGTCGGTGGACAGGCAGCCTTAGTGGTGTTATATTTGGTTATAATAACAGGCTGAATGTAAAGTATGAAATTTGACAGCAATCATCAAATTTTAAAAAGGCTGTGTTGCCACAGCATAGAGCCTTCTTTTGTTTGAAAGACTTTCTAAACCCTAGTTTAACTCTAATGGCCAAATACTCAAACATTATTCAATTTTAAGATGTTGTTAAGTCTCATGGTGTCACAGTTACTTTGACTTCTTAAAGTGATAGAAACAGCAAGAGACTTCTTGAAATTGAGCAGTGTTTGTGTATTAACACATTCCCTGTCCATGAGGTAAACCCTAACCTCATTGGAGACTTTTACTGACACGTTCATGAAGTCACTTGTACCAACAACAACAACAACCCTTGTTATAAATATTTATATATATTAACATAACATAATTTCATTCTCACACATCCTTGAGGTTGGGGTTTACCTCATTGCATTTTTGGCCTATTAAAAAAACCCAATAGATATGAAAAATAAATAACAGCTAAACTGTATTACTGGGATCTATATTAAACTATTATAATCGAAATCTAAAGTGGACATGTGGGTGTAATCATGATTTTATATGCGGACAGAGAACGTGTTAAGGCATAAGGCTATCAATAAACCACATTTTGTAAAAAAAACAGTGTAAAACTACTTATTTTATTTATTACCCTTACTCAGCCTGTAACCAGTTTACTGCTGGATATTGGTATATCCCATAAAATGATTTTTCGATCATAGCATAATTGTTAGATATATTTAATTTTATAAATAATGCAAAGTTTTTACATGGTAGAGTCACGCTGCAGCTATATTATGGTTGTAGCATGAATGGGTCGGCTTGACCAGAGAATTACCACACTCTCATGGAGTACCAGCATAAAATAGCAGTTTAATGCAGCTGTGTTTCGTATGGTGAATGTAGAGAACTGGAGACCCATCTTACTGGAATCGAGGCATTCAATTTTAGTTCTCAAGGGTGACAGTGCATCTGCATTTTGATTTTTAATCAAGGTTAAATTTAGATGTCTATGGGCCACAGCATCCACTTACCATCCGCAATTGAAGCACGAAAGGCCCTTACACTCGCCTAAAGTTACTGTATGGGCTGCTTTATAAACCAGCGGCATTATTGGTCCATATTTTTATAAAGATCAGAGAGGCCGCCTCGTTAATGTCAGGACAGTATGCTTGTTTATCATATCCTATAAAAAAAGAAAAGTAGGCTAACAGTATTTAAAGAGCCCTTTTTTAGGCAGCAATCAATAATAAGCACTAGGTACGTCAGCAAGTAGCAAACGTCAGTCCTCAGGGTGCGTGCGTTAAATGTTGCCAGGTTGAGTCGTCGTAGGTGGCAACCGAACCTCCACCGGAGATTCTTAGCACCCCCCGCCCCGCCGTTACTATGGTCGCCACCGTAGCCAGGAATAGCAGGGCCGCCGGGGACTGGGGGCCGTCTATTTGTGTAATTGTTTATGGGGGGTATATTGCGCTAGTTGCCACGCTTGGCGAGCGGGTTGGCAACCGCAGTTTTGAGGTCAGATATACCTCAAACTAAAAACTAGATTGTACAACCAGTGCGTGTTGCTAGTGATGACTTACGGATCTGAGACGTGGTCCTTCACCGCTAGCTGTATGAGGATGCTCAAGGTCGCTCAGCGAGCTATGGAGAGGGCTACGCGCGGAGTTTCTCTGCGTGATAGACTTAGAAATGAGGACATCGGCAGTAAAACCAGAGTGACTGACATAGCCCAACGGATTAGTAAGCTGAACTGGCAATGGGCCGGCCATATAGCTCGAGGAACCGATAACCGATGGGGAAGAAAGGTTCTCGAGTGGCAGTCTCATACCGGTAGGCGTAGTGTAGGGCGACCCCCCCACTAGATGAAGTGACAACCTGATAATGCATGCAGGAAGTCGATGGATGCAGGTGGCTCAGGACCGTGCTTTGTGGCGTTACTTGGGGGAGGCCTATGTTCAGCAGTGGACTTGTGAAGGGCTGTAATGAATGAATGAATGAACAAAAGCAAAATTAATTTTTCTTTAAAAAAACATTTATTAAATTATAGAAGAATATATTTTCAAGAGGCCAAAAGATTTCTGATCACCATGCAAAATTTCAATGTGTGTGTGCTAGTGTTTTCACACTATTTAATAGATATTATAATATATTTTGTCTATTCCAGTACAGCAATCTCCAAACGGCAAGCTGCAGAGAAATGTGCAATGCAGGCACTACACTGGCTGTATATGAACAATCGAATAGATAAAAAGGGCTGCCCTATATATGATAGGAAGGTATTAGAAGAGATTAGAAGTACACTTAATGAGCCAATATGTGCAGCGATTAGTGATAATTCCATGGAACGAATTGAGAGGATATGGAATGAATATGAGAATGATATAAGTAAGATCATGGTAACTTAGTTGAATAAAAATAAAACTATGTATTAACTCTAAAATAAAAGACCCTTCCTGTCAATAAAAGAGTGTGGTTTGCAAGATGATGCGGTGCCCAGGATTAAGAAAGGAATGCTTCGGTGGTTTGGTCATCTAGAAAGAATGAATGTTGCAGAAGTGAATGGAAGAGTCGGAAAGGGACGTCCTAGGCGAAAGTTTGTTGACCAAATTGGCGATATACTAAAAATGGGCCAAATTAAGAGTACCCTTATCTGACGAGCATGTATGCATAGGTATATGGATGTGGAAGAGGCGAGAGAGGTATGTCAGGATCGTGCTAACTGGAAGTCTGTAGTCTCTGCCTACCCCTCTGGATGACAGGCTTGAGTGTTTATGTTTATGTTATATGTTCCTGTCAATAGTGCTAAGTATAACTATGTATTTTTTTGTTTTCAGAACATATTTATGAAGCGACTTTTAAAAAAGCAAAACAAAGAATGTTTTCAACACCATTCATGTTAACTAAAGATTCGACGTTAGAAGAAGAAGGTATTATAAACATACAGTATTTAGTTGTGTATAGCATTTTATTCATTAATTACATCCTATCAAAAGTCCACTGTTTAATATAGGTCTCTCCCATAGATTTGTCTCAGTAATCATTCATTCAGTTATTCATTTATTTTTATTTCATTCATTACAGCCTCTCAAAGACATGCCTCCCCATAAATTGTTGTATAACAGAGATATTTGCCATAATTGACCATGCTTAGTAGACAGGTTCGCAACTGCAGGTTTTTTTTCATTTACTATATAATAATTATTCTTTTTTTATAGAAGAGGGGGGCAAACGAGCATATGGCTCACCTGATGGTAAGTGATTACTGCCGCCCATGAACAGCTGCAACACCAGGGGGATTGCAGATGCGTTGCCGGCTTTTTAAAAAGGAGTAGGCTCTTTTCTTCAAGGTCCCTAAGACGTATCGATCCGGAAAAATCTCTGGTGGTAATTGATTCCACAAGGAAGTTGTGCGAGGAAGAAAACTATTATATACTGTACTACTATATATATTCTTTTAAATCGCTTAGTGGTGTACCGCCAGTAATCCAGATGGTATGGATAGTTACTACCTAATACACTTGTATTGAAACACAGGTAATTAATGTTTTTTTTTCTTATAGAAGTAAGGGTAACAAAAGAGCATGCAATCCACACGTTGGTAAATAGATGATGTGGTCCATTGACATAGAATAATTTATCATTGATTAAAAATCAAAATGCATATGGATTGTCAACCCTGAGGATCAAGACCATTAACTCTTTACTATTAAAAAAGATCTCCGGTTCTCTATACTCACCATACAAAACACAGCATTATTATGCTGTTATTTTACTTTGGTATTCTGTGAGAACATGATCCTTCTCCGATCGAGCTGGCAGCCATAATACGCTGCAGAATAGCTCTGTAGATTAAGCCATAATTTTATCCTTCTGGGCAATTTTAAACCATCTCGACCACTACCAAATCATCGGTGTCTGTCAACTTTGCAGGTGACGTTAGTTTGTGTGCAAGCATATATATGTCCTATCCTATCCTTACCACAAGCTTGGCAAAAAGATCAAAGAACGCTTTAGTGACAGTTATTCTTATTCTTCTTCTTTTTCTTCATCAGTTCATGATGGGCTCAGCTGGACACTAACCTCAAGTTGTTAGGAGGATTCACTTAACGAGACCCTTTCTTTACTGGAAACTAGGCTTTCCATCTGAGTTCCCAAGGGTGATAACGCATCTACATTTTGATTTTGATATATATATATAATCGAGAATAAATATGGATGTCTATGGGCCACAGCATCCACTTACCATCAGGTGCGCTGTGTTCGTTTGTCTCCTTCATTCTATTAAAAAAATAGATTATACCGCCATCTGTTGGAAGCTATCAGGTTTTTCTGACATTTCCCAAAGTCGCCTCTTATGATTATATTAAATATCTATTAATGTGGCGTCATTTGGGTACGATAATGAATATAGACCATTTATTTTATATTTTTTTCGGTACCACAAAAAATCTTTAACTATTTTAAATAAAATATAGCATAGATCACTCGTGGCATTGCTTTCTATTTATTCGTGAAGTTTCATAACAATTGGTTTGACTTTGAATTAGCCCAGACTGACCGACAGACAGTCACACAATAGATTTAATAATAACCCCCCAGCTCAATAAATGGCAGTTATTTCGATATTACAGTAATACTCTTCAATTTATTGATATTACAGTAATACACTTCAATTTATTTATATAAAGATATAAATTTTTTAAGATATAAATTTTGAACTTGTTTAGGAGATTTATTCAAAATATAACTAATTTATTTTAATTTGTTGGCAGATACCCTACCTGAGGAAACTCAAGAACTTCAGTTCGATGATGGAGAAAGAAGCTTATTAGGTACAATACAATTATGTGTACGCATGTAGAGATCAAGTGATATTTTTAGGGATTATTCACTAGTTTGGAGACCCCTCTTGCATAACCTAGGACTCCGTGTATGTATTAGAGTCTACCTTCTTGCTGTCCACTGTTCTACTCCAGGTTGAAAGGTATGCAGAGCCAGTATATTAATAGGCTGTGAGACATTGACAAGCTCATTCAAAGCTCGGTGTTAACGACTCAAATGTGGTAACGCTTTTTTGTTTACAGTTTTTTCAAGTTGGTTTTAAATGCCCATGGGCTTCAGTAATCACTTACCATAAGGTGGACTGTTGCTTTGCTGGCCGCTTTCAAATCGCATTAATAAGTCTCCTAGCTAAAATTAGCGCTAGCACTTTTTGACTGTGGTTAGTGGCTTATAGTATAAGGTTGACAAACGAGCATATAATCCACCTGATGGTAAATGGATGCTGTGGCCCATAGCACATTTTATCCTTGACTAGCGATCCGCCCCGGCTTTGCACGGGTGATTTCTAGATCTCAACCACAGCGCCACCCACCGGGTCCACTTGGGTTTTTAAACCATCCTCAAATACACACGAAAAAATTCACCCAACTCGGTCAAGCCATTTTATAGTTTTTGCGAGACTAACGGACACATAGAATACACAATAGAATGGCTGTCAACTTTATTTTGTACGAGGCTTGGCGTCGCCAAACCCAATTCGCTATATTGACAGAATGAATAAATTTACACATTTTAGACTTTTGATTAATGTTCAAGATCATCATTAAAACAATCGTTTCAATTTTAAAACATATTTGTTTGTAAATAGGGTGCAATTTGGCATTTTCTAAATAATTTGCATGCGAAATTTGGAAACGATTGTAACGTAAAATCACATCTCGTGTTGACGTTTATACGTGTGAGTTTACGTGTTAGTGACATTTTAGTGGCTACGCGGGCTCCCCCCACTCCCCCGTTCTATTATGTGTGTATTATAGTATTCTATGAACGGACAGCAATTAATTGTTATATATAGAGATTAGGAATCAAAATGCAGATGCGTTGTCACCCGTGATGAAATGCCCCGTTTCTATTAAAAAAGATCTTTACACTCACCATATGAAACACAGAAGTATAAAGCTGCTATTTTACGCTAGTATTCTAAGAGCGCGTGGTCCTACCCCGGACGAGCCGACCCATTCACACTACAACCATAATATAGCTGCAGCTTGGCTCTACCACATAAAGTAACTTCTAAGTTCTGTATTTTATCTTATTTCTGTAAGAGTGATTAACAAGCATACAGTCGAACTCAAGCAAAATGGATTTTATAGCCCATAGACACCTACATCTATCATTGATTGAGGATCAAAGTGGAAACGAGGAACTCAGCAAACGTCTTAGCGACGTAGTTTCTGTACAGGTTTTCTTCCTATAGCGCTCAGCATCTCCTTTCTGGACCATTAAGGACTCACCGAATATGGTTAAAAGGCCCTCGACGATAAATCCACGTTCAGCATTACTGGCAGGGAGAGGTTTGATTAGGCTCACTAGAAGTACGGTCTCAGCATTAGTTTTCAATCGGGAACTTTTTTAAAGTAGTTATAGTGACCAACAACCACACAGTCTACCTGATGATCGCCCCAAAACACCTACTTCTATCATATATTAAGAAATGCGGCAATCATACAACCATAGAATACTATAATACACAATAGAATGGCTGTTAACTTTATTTTATACGAGGATTGACGTCGCCAAACCCGATTCGCTGCGTTGACAGACTGAGTAGTTTTACACATTTTAGACTTTCGATTAATCTTCAAGATCATCATTAAATATTAATACATATTTTATTTGAAAATAGGGTGCAATTTGGCATGGGAAATTTGGAAACGATTTTAACGTCAAAACACATCTCGTGATGACATTTATACGTGTAAATTGACGTGTTAGTGACATTTTAGTGGCTACGCGGACTAGTTAGTATTCTATGCATACAACCGTACAAAAGGTCCCCGGTTGTCATCCTTTACCATACGGTACACAGCAGCATTGAGCTGCTATTTTACGCTGGTATCCTGTGAGAGTGTTGTCCTACCCCGGTCGAACCGACATATTAGTGCTGCATGGTGAAACACCAGCAGCAGCAGTGCTTTCAGGAATAATCAGACATGGACAATTTTTACGTGGTAGAGCCATGCTGCAGTTATATTAGTAGTATAGTTGTAGCACGAATGGGTCGGCTCGACCGGGGAAGGACCACGCTCTCACAGAATACCAGCGTGAAATAGTAGCTTAATGCTGCTGTATTTCGTATGGTGAGTGCAGAGAACCGGAGACCCTTTTTACTGGAAACGAGGCATTCCATCTTAGTCCTCACGGGTGACAACGCATCTGCATTTTGATTCGTAATCGAGGATGGATGTAGATGTCTATGGGCCACAGCAACCACTTACCATCAGGTGGACTGTGTGCTCGTTTGTCACCCTATCCTATAAAAAAAAAAAAAAAAAATGGACAAATAACTATTTCTTCGTAGATAGCAAGACATCAGTACACCCAGTGTTCGGGAGACCCGTGAAGCCGCCGTCTGAATCGACACTAGCAAGGCGCGAGAGAATGTTGAAGCAGAAATTCCAGTATTACGATGAAGAATTGACACCTTTGCCCATCGATCAATACGCGTAAGTAATTGAAAAAAATAGCCACCAAATAGCAGTGCGTGCATTCCCTTTGAAAATTATTTACTTTTTTTGTGATGTATTACGATATTTGTGATTATATATTTGACTATATTAGATACGCATTGGAATATTATAGTAATTGATACATCAAATGAAAATTATTTTTTTATATATGATAGTATGACAAACGAGCACGCAGTTCACCTGATGGTTAGTGGTTGCTGGGGCCCATAGACCTCTATCGTCGATTACGAATCAAAATGCAGATGCGTTATCACCCGTGAGGACTAAGATGGAATTCCTCGTTTCCAGTAAAAAGAATCGTCTCCGGCTCTCTATACTCACCATACGAAACACAGCAGCATTAAGCTACTATTTTACGCTGGTATTTTGTGAGAGCGTGGTGCTTTCCCGGTCGAGCCGACTCATTCGTGCTACAACTATACTACTAATATAACTGCAGCATGGCTCTACCACCTATAGATAATTTTTTATAGAATCTAATTTTAATGTTAGCATTGAGTCAGTGGCGAAGCTAGGGCTCCAAACTAGGGGAAGCCTAAGATATGGTTTTGTTGTTTTTAGCAGTTTAATAAAAATACACCAATCTTGAGCTGTCTCCACTCTTTAGTTTCATATTCAGTGCTGTCATGGACGTGTTTAACAAAGCACACAGAAAGCATACCTACGACCGCTAGGTAGATTGTATGACATAATATGCAATTGCACACCTTCAGTGGTTTTGAAAAGAGCCGTTTGGGTTTGCTTGAGATATTTACAAACAATACAATACATGAATAAAAGAAAAGCATGAACAAAGTACAAACAAACTATGTACAAAGTTAAAAAAAGGGACGCCTGGCAGATGTGAAAGCTCGAAATTATATTTTGTTTAAGTTACATGCATATAAGAACAGATTACGAGAGGAATTAGATAGTTATAATGAGAAGATAAAGCTTTGCTAATTTTTTACCATAAAATAATGACTATGGAATAAAACTAAATTTACGGATTTTATCGCGTTTATTTCACTACTTTTACTTAACCATGGTCACGGTTGCTGTAAAGCACCCGAAACGTCGGGAATTAAAAATAAGTAAAAGTAGTGAAATAAACGCTATAAAATCCGTAAATTTAGTTTTATTCAATGTGTAGTGTTCGCGTAAATTTAAGAAATTAAAATAATGACTATTTATTATAATTATAATTATTCATTTTCAATTCATAATAAACTACAAAATGATATTTTTAAACTCATATATCACTATAAATTAGCCGATAGCTTATTTGTGCCATCTAGCGTAATCTTTAGGTACCATCGTGAGAATCAACCAATTTTCGTTCGATAAAATGACTTTACGTATAGAATTAAGTAGATGGCGCCATTAAAATTTTATATACTGAAAAGTAGACAGAGAAACCTAACTGGAAATAACTAAAGGGAGTACTATTCTTTAAAAACCTCAATACATTCTTCTGTATTCTTTTGATTTATTTAATTAAAATTTGGGCTTCACGTTAAAAAAAGATTGTAACACTTATTTCCATTGATGTCCAAATTGATATTTTTAACTCGTATGGTAATATAAATATTGAGTTATTAAACCTTTAAATACGCCTAACTTAATTAAACTTTAATACTAAAGAGTCCTGTACCTATATTTAAAGTATGAAGAAAGGTTTATTGAATATTAAATTTCACTTTTAAAGATTTTACCTTTTCCTCGCCGATAAGCACTTCAACACACTTATATTCATCACAATGAACACTATTATCCTCCCATTTTCACTGAAAATCTTCGAAAAAGCATAAATTTTCAACAAACACAACAAAAACAAACATAAACATTAAAATGTGAAGTGAACTTGCATACGAGGGGCCCGCAACCGCAACCACTTCGCTAGTCGCTAACGCACTCCTAAACAACTTCATGACAAAGCCAGGCTTGTTGGCTCAATAGTAATTGCTATATAAACATTTCGTAGTTATATTTCATTATAGAATATTTTGCCATAGGTTAGAAAGAGAGCGATCGTCTTCTCGAAAGCCCCGTACAAAGCCCACGCGAGCGAGGGAGACAACGAATCGCTCTATTAACACTCACTTTATGACAGCAGCAGTATCGCCACAGAGTACCTTTGTATAAACGTATCGCTAAGGCAATACGAGGTCATCGGTCGATATGTGTCGAACAGTGGAGTGCGCGGGAAAATTGAAATAATTTGAAACAGTTTATGAGTTATTTTATTAGTTGATATTATTGATTGATTCAGTTTTAATAAGGCAAGGCCCGGTTTTTCGGCTTTTACGGAAGCTTCGCCACTGCATTGAGTTAAGTATTTTTGAAAGTGCATTAATATTAACTTAGGAGATTATTGTAGCAAATTTCTCGAAAATGATGTTATAGTAATATTATACTAGTGACTTATTGAACCATTTCTTATTTAAGAGACATAATTTCATGCACTGTAGCAAAGTTATTGCGGTACTTAATTTAAAATAGATTAGACAAAAGGGAATACATAAAACACTGTTTTGTATATTCAAAAAAAATGTAAATTTCTTTTGGAGTATAGACAACTTTATTTTTCATGTTTCTTTCTGTACAGATTTGTATGTTATTGCCCTCATTTTGATTGTGTCCCATCGCGAAATACCTGTGCGTAATGGAAATCGCAAATAATTTAGCAGCATAGACATACAAGGCGAAATATACTTATTTTTTTCCAGCCCTTAGCAGTCATCTGTATAAAGTGAAAATTTGTTATTACCTGTCATAATTTATGCTACGGCCACACTACCGTGGTATGGCAATAATTATGGCCATAACAGCAACAATGTCTAGGTGTAGCCACGATTTATGGCCATAATTTTACAATGTCAATCAATATGGTATATGACTTTTTCATATCAAAGACCATTACCACGGTAATTTTTGCTACAGTTTGTTCAGTGTGCCATATGAGCTCAATTGAGTAAGACTAACTTATTACGCTCTTCGTTTATTTTTGTTAAAATGTAAAAGATCCATGTAAGTACCTAATTGAAATTCATAAAGTACGACACCGCTGCATTTTCAACCTCTATATGTAAATGAAAAATGATATTTTTCCACCTAGTTCATTGTCATATGTAGTTAGACTCTAGTGTAACCATACTACTTCACGCGGTAATTTAAGCAGTAATTTAAAGTCAAGTTTACTGCGGAAAATGGGCGATAGACGGTAAGTTAGTGTGGCCGTAGCTTTAGGAATACACCATTTTTATTGCAGCCTCTTTTTGCTATTGTGTAGTTTCACAAGTAGTAATAGCCTTTTTTGGCATACTGTGGCAAAAATAATAACAAACAAATTATACATTTGATAATGTTACTATTTTAGACCTAAGACCTAAAAGTAGTGATATAGGAGCTCTTCTTTTCTTCTAAGGGTCAATTTAGTTAGGTTCAGTCCTCTGCTGTTTCTAGTCTTAACAATTTCACTGTCCGATTTTCGGACACAATAGTAAGCCAGTAGCAATGAATTACATGTAGTACACCTTACAGCGAATGGGTTAAGGGTATCCATATATATATATATATATATATATATATATATATATATATATATATATATATATATATATACAACATGTAACATAATTAACGCACTTTGAGAAAGTAGTTTGTTCAGAATCGTTTACTGAATCGATTCCTATCATTTTTAATATAGGTAATTTTTTATCCCAAAAATAATTAAAATTACGTAAATTACAGTCACACTAAATCTGCACAGTCAAAACAAACTGAAATGGACCGTAACTTAAGGCAATAAGACTTTTAAAAGTGCAGTTTTATTTGTATTATTACTAATTCTGTCTTTCAATAAAAATAAAGAAAAATGAACCTTATTTCAAGCACGTTAAAGTCTTTGCGTTCGTGGATTTGTACTGTGACCACAAAATTCTTCCGGAATTAGTATAACTAATTTGATAAATAATCAGTGCATAAAAATGTTTAACTAAAAATTCAGAGTATGTATTATGATTATAACATAATATACTAATTGGGGTGTCTGAGGGTGTGCGTTAATTACGTTACATATTGTAGATAAGCTCTCGTTATACATTTTACAGTACGCGCATAACGACGATTCAATTAAAAACATGGTGAGGAAATCTGCATGTCTGGCGAATAATTATATTTCGAAGATATGATGTGACGCCCACCAACACGCATTGCAGTAACACGACGATCTTAACGTACCAATACAATATATATATTCATTATATTCAATACAATTATATATATTCAATAATATATATATATATATATATATATATATATATATATATATATATATATATATATATATATACATATATATATATATATATATATATATATATATATATATATGTATATAAAGATTAAAGGGCTTATAAACATTGATTAGCGATTACTTAAGTATTACTTATCTCTATACCTGTCTCTTTCTTTTGCCTTGATTTTTATGAATAAAGGCGTAACCGTAAGTGTTAAAATGTACTTTCAACTGTTGAATAAAATATATAGTAGCTAGGACATTTTTTAATTACTTATCTTAACATTCTGCAAACGGCTAATAATTCACTTAATTGTAAATAAAAAAACTATTAAACCACTCAAACATTTCACATAATACAAATACATACATGTAGGTACTTATGTATATAAATTATTATACCAGAAATAATTTGACAACCTTGAACTCGTATTTCACTCATACTAATAACTAGATTGATGACACAAATTCGATCGCAACGCACTAAAAGACCTTAACTCGCTAAAAACCGTGTCGTGTTCCGCATAAAGAACCTTGAGCCGTGTCCCTTGTCCCACATTGTGTAGCCGCGACCTTGCGACCCCGATATCGGCCCGATTCATAAGCCCGCGACCCAGTCGAGTCCCAATTTCTTCCTGCGACCTCTAAACACGACCTTCTATTTAAAACATGGCCTTCCTTAGTCCTTTCAGGATCG